ATTTTCAAATTTTATTATCTATAATTATTTTTTTAATATTTTTGCATTTTAAAAAAGTAAATTAGAGCTAAATGAATACAAAAATACAGGCAAATTTGCTTGCATTGGCTTACAATCTAAGAGATAGGAAAAGGAATTTGGACTCTATTCATTATTAGAAAAGTAGATAACTAACTGACTTTTTAGGAATATTTGGAATTTAAGAATATTAAACTTGAGGGAGAAAAACTACTTGTATTTATATCTTTTAGTAAAGCTTTGTAGAAAGGTTAACTAAGAATTATCAAAAAGTTATCTAAACAGCATCTAAGTATTTGTACTAGCATCACTTAGGTATCACTTAAGCATCACTATAAATAGATTAGCACAGTAAGTAGTACAATCTTTAGCACAGTAATTATTATATTATATTAGCTATTACTTGAGTTTTCTCTATATTGTATATAATAACTTAAGATAAAACCTATATTATCATATAGCCAAGGTTCTCATCTAGAAAGTTACTTAGAATTATTTTTTGATCTGAACGCTTCTTGAGAGACTTCACTTAGAGGTAAATATTTTTTATAAATTTCTATACTATAAAATATCTATACTAAAATAATACAAATATAAGAAATAATACTAAAATACTAATAAATTCAACTAATAAAAATATAATGTAAATTATACTAAAATCTATTCTATAATAGTATTAAAGATAATATAAAATAAAAGCAATATGAAGATTTAATCAGAGGTGTTCCTTTTATAATTAATATAGTAACAGTTTTTCTATAAATTAAATTATTTATTTGTCATTACTTGTAGTCAAATATTATATAGTTTTTAGTTAATCAAATAAAAGAATATATATATTATATTTTATTTTGTTTTTATATTAAAAAAATTTAAAACATGTCTATAAATAAATTATCTAAAAGTAATAATTCTAAAGATAAACTAAATGATATATTTTTATATGTATAATTCTTTTTTCAATATTTAGATTATACCAAAACTGAAGAGATTTAGAAACTCTCTATAGTTACAAATCAAAATATAAATTATATAGTTTTTTGTTATACTAATAGATTATATAGTTATATCTGTTTATCATAACAAAAACAAGATCTGATTTGTAAGTATTACTTTTATCTTATATTAACTGATTTTTAGAATTATACTAAAACAGATGTAATTTGATATTTTTTTAAATTTAAATAACTTTTTATATATTAGTTTATTTTAAATAAAACAACTACTAAAATATTCATCTTAATAAGACAATTCCAACAAGCCTAAATCATTAAAATCTAATTACTAGATTTCAAGATAGTTTAGATTTTTTGCAAAGATAATATATCTTAAAGTAAAGACAATTAGTTAGATATAGGTCTAACTAATTGTTCTTACTCTAAAGTATATTATCTTTACAAAAAATCTAAACTATCTTGAAATCTAGTAATTAGATTTTAATGATTTTAGATTTGTCAAAATTATCTCATTGAAATGAATATTTTAGTAATTATTTTATTCAAAATAAACCAATATATAAAAAGTTATTTAGGTTTAAAAAAATATCAAATTATATTTGTTTTAGTACAATTCTAAAAATCAGTTGATATAATATAATTTATTAATATGTGATAGATTTCTAAAATGTATCAAAATGATATAATAATAGAATCTGATTATTTTAGCTAACAGTTTGTAGATAGTATTACAGGTTCTAGTGTAAATCAGAAAATAAATAATAAAAATTAATACTTTAAACAGCTTTAACTTTTTAATAATAATAATAATAATAATAAGCAATCTACTTAAAATTCTGGATTTATAAATAAAAAACTATTTTATAAAGAATTATTAAGATTAGTTTATACTACAATTAATAAATACTTTTTATATTAGAATCATAAGTTTGTTGAAATAGTTAGAACATATTTGGCTAGTATAAATTTCTGTAAACAAGAAATTCAGCAACAAGTAAATAATTCAGAAAATAAGAAGTCAAATAAAGAGAATACTCTTCTAAATATCAAATTTAAAAACCTGAAGAAAGTTACTACTAAAGAATGACCAAAATTATCTAGTCATTGCAATAATAAACAAAATATATCACTTGATAAAAAGAGAAGATGTGAACAGAATTATTGTAGCTACTGCAAGAAGGTAGATTATAATATTGCAACATGCTCTAAAAAAGTTGAGGATCAGCAAATTTAAACTATACAGTACTGCAGTACTGGAATCATGTATGTATTTAGCATAGATCAAATTTATACGTATTGTTAATTGTGTTAATTTTAGAACTTGTGTCCAATTCATTAAGTATTTGTAGGATATTACTTGTGTAAGTGATACTAACTAAAAAAGGATAAAGTATTAAAGCTAGTGTAATATTGTCTTTTTTATGAATACTTTACATAGTGATCTTTTTTCAAAATAATGATAATTTCTATTATTTTTGAGTAACTACATATGCAATATCAATTTGGATAGTTAATCAATTCAGCAGATAAACCAAAATTTAGAGTCAAATTAGGCTGAAACTAGACTAGCAGTAAGTAGTAATACCAACATACTATATTTAACAAAATTAGCAACAGACGATTTTTACTTAGTAAATGGGCTACTGCGTTATGAAAAATTTATTAATTCACGTGTGCTGGATTTTGATTGTGTAGTTAATTCTAAAAAAATTAGTGATTCTATTATATAATATGTTAATATAATATTTCTTAGAATAAGCTTGCAAAGCCTAATTTTAATTTGTAAGATTCGTAGTGTACTGACTAAAATATACAGTCAATATATTATAAAGTTGGGAATTTCTATTTTTACCCGGGTTAAAGTCACCTGAAATATTAAATAAATTTTCATTTACTTTAGAGTTAGGGTGAGACCTAGGATTTTATCTAGGCATTAGTATATGCAAAATTTTACAATAAATTTTTTTGTTAGAGCCTATTAATACTATTAATTTTAGTCACGCAAATATTATTATAGTCTATCGGATGACTTTAATCTGGGTGAAAATAGAATTTCCCTATAAATTTAGTCATGTGATCTAGGGGTGCAAAATACTGCATATGCAATAAATTATAAAATCCATAATTTAAATACAAAAATGTAATTCTAATTTATATACATTTTTTTCCTAAATATAAACATAATAAAATTTTTACATTATGCTTGTAATTGAGACTCATGCTTCTTTCTTGTGAAGGCAGTAGAACACTTGGCCATTGTTTGACTTGCCCGAGAAATGCTGTCCGTCATATAAAAATCTTGAATTATAGGGTTTAATTTAGCATCATTCGAATTTGTTGCTAATTTTGAGAGATGCTCAATACCCAATTGAGAATTACTAGCGTCCTCAATTACATCATAGCGGGTGAGATGTGGTGCTATATCATTCATGCGATCGCGGATAGAAAGGAGGTCATCGTAAGGTAAGGTGAGTCCGGCAACTTCTGATAAAGCACGGATGATCTAGAAAAGAAATCTTTCAGCTATTAATTTCAGGCACGGAAATTTAATTATAATCTCAAAACATACCTTCCAATCTTCACGCGAAGCAGCCGGTGGAGGCACCGCAGCTCGAGTGAGCTGTACACGGCCTTCAGTGTTTAAATATGTAGCATTCTTTTCTGTATAAGCTGCCCCAGGGAGAATTATATCGGCGTATTGAGCTCCTACATCACCATGATGTCCTTGATATACTACAAATGCATCTTTGGGAATATCTTGAGACCTAATCTCATCAGCTCCTAACAAGTAGATGAATTTCGGTGTTGTTTCGGTTGATGCATGTGAAGGTATAAATCCAATATCATAAGCAGCAGGATGACCTACAGCCTAAATAAACCGGTTAAAATTGTAAATCATATGAAATCATAATGATGAATACTATAAATAATATATATGCGAACCCTTTGAAGTACGTTATATCCGTTCCACCCATCTTGGAAAAATTTTGGTTTGTATTTGTTTACTATTTTAGCTATTGTAGAGAATATGTATGCTTCGTCAGGATTGTCTAAAACACCACTACCAACTATAATCATCGGCCTTTGGGCTTCCGAGATCCTTTTAGCGAATGGATGCACATCATTTAATACACTGTCAAGCGCTTTACTTGTTGTACCAATATGATCATATTCATAAGATGTATTAGCAGGGTGACCTATAAGTCCAACATCTAAAGTATTATTGAGATAACATTTTAGGATCCTAGTATTAAGAATTGGACCTTCATGACGTGGATTTGTACCGACTAATAAAAGCACATCGGCTTTCTCAACACCAGCAATTTTGCTGTTCAATAAGTAATTAGATCTAAAATCAATTCCATGAGCAGGTATCTTTGAACCATTAGAACTGTCGATAGCGAAGTTATCACTACCAAAACTGTTGAATAAATCTTTAAGAACGACCAAACTTTCCACATCCACAAGTTGTCCTGCAATCGCTTTAGCCTCGGATCCTTTAACATTGCGAATTTTTTTTGCCACACGCGTCAATGCTTCTTCCCATGATATAGGAACGAATTTATCACCTTGACGAACTAATGGAGTGGTAAGTCGCTGTCTTCTAAGTCCATCAAATGCAAATCTTGTTTTATCGGAAATCCATTCTTCATTTACATCATCGTTTATTCTAGGAAGAACACGCATGACTTCGACTCCACGGGAATCGACTCTGATGTTGCTACCGATAGCATCTAGGACATCAATTGTTTCGGTAGGTTTCAGTTCCCAAGAACGATATGAAAATGCATAGGGTTTGGCAGTCAAAGCACCAACAGGACATAAATCAATGACATTGCCTGACATTTCGGAATCTAATGTACGTTCAATATACGTGCTTATTTGCATATCACTGCCTCTGCCAGTTGAGCCTAATTCTTGAACACCTGCGACTTCATTGGCAAACCGTACGCAACGGGTACAATGAATACACCTATTCATTGATGTCTTTATCAAGGGTCCAAAATTTTTGTCTTCTACTGCACGTTTTCCAATTATTTCATGAAATCTACCCCGGTCACTACCATATCTTACAGATTGATCTTGTAAATCACATTCACCACCTTGATCGCAGATTGGACAGTCTAATGGATGATTTGCCAAGAGGAATTCCATAACACCTTCACGAGCCTTTTTTACAAGTGGAGTATCGGTTTTGATTTTCATCCCAGGCATAACAGGCATTGCACATGAAGCAATAGGTTTTGGTGACTTCTCTAACTCAACAAGACACATTCGACAATTGCCAGCAACAGATAATCGCTAATTTATCCAAATTAAAAAAAAAAAAAAAATTAATTATTTTAGAAAGTCAAATTACAATTCAGATTTTGTTACCAACCTCATGATAACAAAAACGAGGTATCGTATAACCAGCTTTTTCACATGCTTGAATAACTGCGCTTCCTTGTTCAATCTTTATCGGATTTCCGTCCACAAACACTTCTACTTGTTGATTTCTTGAAGCACTGAAACTAAAGGCACGAATTCCTTGGAATTTAAATTCATGCGCACATTGTGAGCTGCCCACTGATTAGATTAATTTACTTAATACACTAAATTTCAGTGTCTAAGCATAGTAATACCTTTTCCCCTCGAGGCAAGAGAGGTTAGTCGTTTTAAACCGCCTGGGTAGGCAATAAACTTTATCATGACGAGAATATCAATAATAAACGGGGTTTATTCGTTTAACTTATTTTTTATGGTGTATTATTATTGGTAATAGTTAACGAAGCAGTCTTAATAAGTATTAAATCAAGTATTTTATATTCTAATTAATCATAAAAGCTTGTTTTTTTTCGTAACGAATGTGCTTGAACATGTTACACGAAATTTTATAAACTTTTAAACCCATAATCACGTGCCATAAGTTAATGCTTTATCAATCGATTCGGTATATTGTCAAAAGTTTCGTCGATAGCATGAACCAAAGAACACTTATAGAACAGAGACAATTCTAATATAGCTTATTAAATATGCATTATCTAATTTTTAATCCTATAGGTAAAATGATTAATTTTGAATAGAGGATGGAAATTAGAGGATATAACAAAGGGATAGATATATCAATATACCTTGGGTTATTCTACAACGACAGTATCGGGAGTAAGCTAGTTAAACAAAATTCGCGTGTAAGGTGATAATAAAAACAATCGAATAAAGTAAAAAATTTAAAGTGTAAAACCGTTAGAGCTCGGATTAGCAAGGACAAAATTTAGCAAAGGAATTTTTTTTTATTATTGGGTTCATAGATGATTTTTTAAATGAAGCATGATTTTACCTAATCTTGTACCCTGATTGATCAATAACACGTTTCTGCCGAATTTTTGATTCAATATCGGAGCATATATCACTTTAATCTTTATTTAAATAAGTGATGGACAAGTCTGGTTCGGTCCGTCCTGGTTCCTAATAAGACCAGCCCATTAATGTTTTTTTCTGGTTCTTAGTTATTTAAACCTCTAATCATCTTATGGCTAGCGAAGAGAATTGAATCAGATTATGTAATCTATTAACAAAGATTGGTTCGGACTAGTTAAAGACAATCTAAATTTAGAAATGATGATCAGTGGCTTAGCTCTACTTAAAAAAAATTTTATACACTTTGACTCTGAATTTTACTAATTAAACCGGACAAAAAAAAGATAAAACGTTATATTTTATATTATTTTATATTAAAATTAATTTAAAAAAATCTATATTTTCAAGAATTTTACTTAAAAGTAAATATTTTTTATTATATATTACTAGTATTAGTTATTCTGTTACAAGTATATAGTTTTCTTAATACAACACAAGTAATGTTATCAAATGAACTTTAGCATATTTTCTTATTTATTATTATATTACTTTATATATTTAGATTTATATATTAGCATTTCTTTCAAATTCTTAATAGCTCAAAATAGATTTAAGTTATACTATTCAATGTAGCTTGATTAGACTTTTTAAACGAGCTATAAATCATATCTTTAGCACATATAGTTCTTGAGTTATCTTAGAATTAATATTTGAGTAATATTTACATTTAATAATATTTAACTACATTTGATAACGTTTAATTATATTTGATGATGTTTAACTACAATTGATAACATTTAACTACAATTGATAACATTTAGTTACAATTGATAACGTTTAGTTATATTTAGCTATATTTGATAATATTTAGCAATATTTGTAAAAAGATATATAAACCTTAGTTTTTTCTCTTCTTGTAAAGTAGTTCTATATAGTTCTGTATTAAGTTCTGATAAGTTCTTGTATAAGTTCTTACAGTTCTTTAATAAAGTCCTCTATTAATTCTTTAATAAAGTATAACTTTAGCCTTATAAAATACTTCTTTTAAATAAACTACTATAGTGATATGATATTCTACTTTGATACTATTAGGAATCTCTTTTCCATATCTTATGTTACTTGTGATGTATTAAAAAGGCTATTATGCCACTTGTGATATTTTAGTATCTTCTAGTAAAAAAGAAATAAAAAGATCTCTATTTAGTATATTATTCAATATGAGCAAATGATGATAAAAATAAGAATGAATCATCAGAATTATAGTGTATCTTATAACCAAAAGAAAATTCAAAAAGAAGTTTTTTTAAAACAATTTATAATCGCTTATCATATTTTGCTAATATCTTTACAAATATTGAATATAGAAAGATAAAATACATACTATTCTACTTATAAGAATCTACTCTACAATTTTTATTATAGCATATATTAGTATGAAAAATGCTTCTCTGGTTTGCAAATTGGCTTTAAAGATTCTATTAGTATTTTCAAAAATGATTTTTTTAGAGAAGATCTAAAAAGAAAAAAAATATATAGTTCTGATAATTTATAAAAATTATTATACCTTAGCTTTCTGTAAACTGATTTTAAAGTTTCAATATCTGTTAAAATTACAAGAACTTGGTCTTACAACTTTACTTAAGTTATCAAGTCAAGGTTATATAGTATAAATACCTTTTTAAAATAGCTTTTATAAAATTAATCTGCAAAATATCTTTTTCTTTACTGTGCTATATAGGCAAAAATTTTCAAAAATTTTTCTATCTTCTACATAGTAGATGACCTTCACAAAACTCATTACTTTTAGATTATCACATACTTATAGTAACTAAAGAAAGTGAGTTTTAAAAACTTAAATACAACTAAACTCTTAGATACCTCATAGAGTTTAAACAATTTTATCTTAGATATATGACTTGCACATATATATATTCTTGTAGATTATTATCTTAGATGATGCTTAAACTCAACTTCATTATAGATATAGACTCAGAATATTATAAACATTACTTTAAACATTCTATTTTACTTTATTTAACTCAAAACAGTTTATTAATTTTATGTAAAAATGACTAAAGGTTAGCTAGCTTTACTTTATTTCAAAAGTCTTAAAGATTATTAAAGATTTATTAAGACAGTTTGCTACTTCTGAGCAAAAGTGAGCTGATGATGAGAATATCTCTATTCTTTGCAAAAAGCTATTGTATAAAAAAACTTACAGTTTGTCAATTCTGAACAAGATATAATTAGTAGTTTTTATATTATTACTTTTTAAAAATATAGTAAAATTTTAATTTAATTTATCAAGTTAGAAAGATTCAATCAAGTACTCTTAAATATTAATGCTTAGAAAGTTCAACTACATATATATTAATAAAAAAACTTAAGATTTAATTACTTTTAAAAACAGATTCTTTATGATACTTAGATAAAACATATCTAGATAATAAGAATTCTCTGATATAATATTTCTAGAAAACAATATTTCACATTAAAATACAACTCTTCCCATAGATCATTTGGACCAAATTCGGAGCTAAGAGAAAAACCAAGTTAACCTAGAAATTTCATTAAGAAACAGTACTCAGAGCACTAAGAAAAAAGAAAGAGAACTTAAAAATACATATATTGTATTAAAAGAACAAAGGCAAAAAACAATCAGA